CAGCAGTGCCGCAATAACGCGAGCGTAATTCTCATACTGACACGGTCCGGCGCGCCTCCGAGCGCGATTATAATCCCCGTAATTAAAATAAACTCGCGGTGTCCGAAACGCGCGGGATAAGCTCCGTGCGAAACCACGTGGGGCTCCTTCGACGATGAACGGCGCATTCTCGCCGGTCAATTAGCGAGCGTGACGTCGGGGAAAAAGCTGCACCGTAAGAGAGCGACGCGTGTCGTTAAGGTTTGCGCCGCCGGCGTGAGCGTGAGCGTACGATAATAGAATTCGATAAATACACGCCCTCATGTAGAAATAATTGAGCGCCGTGATTAAATTATTAATTATATTACGGGAGCGCGTCGGCGCTCATACAAGTGCGTCCGTATGCATGCGCACGAGGGTAATCAACTAAAGAACCGCTAATGAAATGGGTTCTCGTACACTCGGCGGTAATTAACAACGGGTAGGCCGATCGTTGACTTCCCGCGGGCGATGCATTTTGCTTGAAGAGTACGCCATTTCTGCTCCATTCGCGTTGTCGGTGCCATATGTATAGAAATATATGCGAAAGATAAAAAGTAAATAAATAAGTGGGGCGCGCGACAGCTTTTATTTATAGCCCGATGTTCACAACGAGCGACGGTCCCTGACACGAAACAAATGTCGTTGGGACTCCTGTACCATCGTGAATGAGGCGGTAAAATTGTAATAAATAAAAACGAAATGGGGAACGCAAGAGGGCCGAGTGCGATAGAGATAAAAGAGTTTCATTTATCCTGTTCCCGCGCGGAAGAAACGACGAACGGAGGAGGATCCAGGATTTGTTAATCGCGACGTGACTCCGCTCGTTTTCGAGATCGTCGCGTCGTGCTCGAAAACCTTCGAGCGACATCGATCACCGAGGCAACGAACGCAAAGTTCGCGAGGAAGTCTACTGAGAGGTCATGGAATGCGAAATAAATAGGTATATTGCAAGCGAACGAACGAGAGAGAATCGTGGCCGGCAGGATCACGCGAGAAGACGACCAAAGTCATTAACATTTTCGAAAACCAGGACGAGATCAACCGTTTATCCGGCCCGGTGGTCTCCTGGCATTTGGCACTGGTCGTCGTGTTTCGTCCTCGGAGCCTCTGCTCGGAAAATATCGTCGTGTTTGTGTCCGCGTTTTCGCGCGCCTCAGCCGCGCGATCGATACCGAAAATTCTCGATCCTGCGGATCGGAAAGTCCATTATCGCGCCGTAATAAAGTCGCCGTCTTCGAATTTTGTAACGTTTCGCAGCGGTACGCGACTAATGCGCGAGTTACGCCGAATATACTCTCGATACCGTTTCGAAAGCGTTATTTATTTTTCCGTTTCGATGTGTCGCTCGCCGGCGCTCTCTCTCTCTCTCTCTCTCTCCCTCTGTGGCGGATATAAATACGATATCCCCGTTATATTGCAGCGGGAAGAATAAAAAGAGAAAACACACGGCAGTGGGAGGAAAAAAGAGAGAGAGAGGGGGGAGGGGGGGGAATAGAGGGCGCGGATTTTTTTCTCCGGCCCGACGCGCGCGAGAGCATGGCCCATTGTTTGATAGCCTGCGAGAATATCGATCGTAAAAGCGCGAGTGACGTCGCCGAACGTCGTGGATTCAATGTGTCCGACTGGAAACAAAGCCTCGCCCGTCTCGCTTATCATATTTCAGCGCCTATGGAAGAAAGAGTCACGAGGAAGGAGGCCGCCTCCCCTTTCGTCCTCTCTTCTTCTTCACCGCGATCCGCGGAACCGCGAGGAGAGGCCGAGAAAGTTGCGTGATTCATTACGATTAGCGACGGTCGATATTAAATCGGACGAGAAAGCGTCGTTCTTCTGCGGGGGAGGACACGGAGAAGGAGGAGGAGGTACGAGAGACGTGGGTCGACGTGATTGGAATCGTCCCGATTATCCGACGTAATGCAGATATAAGAGATGATGTAACGGCGCAGTTCGCCGGGACAAAAAGGTGGGAAACGATGAAAGCGTCCGTTCAATTTCGATAATTGAAAGTAGTCGCCGCTCGTCTCGCAAACGTAGAAGCGTGATACTAATTATTCCTAATTGGTCTCCTCAATTTCATATGTTGGACCTTACACGTTCTATCTGTGGAGCTTCGATGCGGCAAACTTGTTAAATTGGAATTCAGGTAGCCAGTAGGCTACGATTTCTCTTTCTTGAATTGCCCTCACAGTTTGTTACGTTTATTGAATTTCGTTTCAGATATCTGGCACGCAACGATCTATTCTCCCTGCTCTTTACAGTCGAGCGATTTTAACGAGATTCACTCTTCAATCGGGAGTCATCTATACCATCAGGATAAATCAGGATATGTTCCCGCCAACTTCTCCCCCCCCCCTTCCTCCCGAGTCGAAATTTTCACGCTATACTAAACCTTCAACTTGAGAAACCGAACTGTTCGGTTTCTCATGGTTCGTTGAATCAAACACTCCTCTGTTTATCTCATTCCAGAAGGCAAATTTGTTCCAATTAAAGAAACTTTATTAAATCCACCGAAATCTCCTTATCTGTGCAGGGTCTGTTTAAATGGGCGCAAATTATCCTTAGGGAGGTCAAAGCGGCAATGAAAATTTCGACTGGGAGGCCCGGTTTAATGAGAAAAAACGTAGAGCAATCAAGATGAATGCGATGGAACGGGGGAGAAGGTTAACCTCGCCGTCAGTTTCAACAGCCGGACACCGGCGAGGATGGACGGCCGGTTGACGGGGCTATAACGATAATTCGCATCGCCGAGAGACGGTCCTCGACCCAGATACCCACGCGGATTCTATATTATGCGAGGCGCGTCGCCGGCACTTTGGTAATCGACATTGGGTGGCGGACCGTTTTTATGCAACGGCTCGCTTTCGCTGGCGGCACACACGCGGCGGAAACTCCCCGTAATTGCGCGCGAGTGCGATAAAACGCTAATGTCCCGTTAAATCACCCTTACTGTTACGTCGAGAACGTAACGATGCAAGTTCGAGATCGATCGCCGCGACAATGCGACGATTGTCGCGCGCCGGACGGAGGACTTTCGCGCGTGCTACCGCGAAAATTGGCCGATCGTTTAAGAGATACCTTCGCAAGATTCATTGTCCCCAGAAGCACCGTTGAATTAACGGGGGAAAAGCGCTGCAACGATTCCTCCATTTACGCGGCAGCTAAAGGTGACGCTTGAATTGATCCGCACAGATGCGGCGAAGATTACGAAAATACGAGTGGATTCTGTCTGGAGATTTCACGTCGGAACAGGAAGTCTGAATGTAACGATAATAAAGATGAAAAACTCGCCGAGAGGAAGCGTCGACTCGAGCGAGTCGGAGGGACGCGAAAGGGGAGAAGCGTTAACGTCGCGGACGCGACGAGTAACCTCGTCCCCTTTCGTTACCGCCGGAATCGTCGAACGACGACGATTGAATTCGTAGGTGTTGACTCAACTTCACCGTCGCACAATTTCGCTTATTCTACGGCGGCGGCAACGCGTATCCCCGGGGGGATCCCGGGAACTGCGCTTTATCTCGGAGCGAAGCTCGACGCGCCGTCTTCCATTCGGCGCACAATCGAAATACACAGGAGGCCGTCGCGTAAACTCGCGTTCGACGCAGCGGCTCCGTCGGCGGCAAAGTGTAAACCGTGGAATAGAGAGAGACGTGGATTTTCTTCAATTGTTCGATCGTGAGCGACCTCCCGGCCGGGCGATCGCGCGCTCATTGCGACGAAACATTGAATCCTCATCACCGCTTCGGAAAGGTGAATTACGTTTGCGGATCCTTTTATATAGGACGTATCGAAACACCACCGGCGAACAGGATAGATTTCGCATGAAAAAAATAAGTGAAAATGTCTCAGTAAATATATTAGGTTGTTCGGAAAGTTCGTTTCAAATTTTGCGGGCTTTCCTGAGATAATCAGCGAGAGCGAGGAAGCTCCGATTTTATGTTTGCCAAGAAACCTATATCTAACTATGTCTCCGAAACCGAGCTTTTATGTGGATATATGTGACTATTTTACTTATTTTTCAACATAGAATCCGTCCTGTAAATTTCGGTCGGTAGAGTTCAAATACTGCATTAGATTGAATCTACAATAAGTAAGCTTTTAGCCTTCTGTTCTAAGCATTAAATTCTAACGTGATTCCCAACGAAAAGCGTTTCCAGCGCTACCACATGTCGTAATTTCTAAGATTTAAGCGGTGTCGTGATTTTCAGCAGCATGGAAAACGCCTTTTCTGTCGGTAATTATGTTACATTTTATTGCTTTAAGGACTAAAGGCATATTGTAGATCCGGCTTTACGCTTCCACAGCGTTTATTCAGCAGGCTCAGGTGCAATTTCTGAGTTGGAAGTCCGATTACGGGCGGGGAAGAGCCCGGTTCGCTGAGCGTGCCTGAAATTTCTATGACTTTCTTTCGACCGCGTAGCTTGGAAATCAATCCTCACCGTCACGGAGGTTTCCATTGAGTAACAACTTCCTCGGAGCGACTTTCCGACGTTCAGGTCAAAACGTTGCGGCGATACTGAGAACTTTGTCGAAGTAAATGTTACGTCGTCGGCGCATTCCGTTTCGAGGGGAACGGTTCTTCATTTAATACGAAGTGTTTACTTCGCATTAAAAGTGAAAAATAAGATCCCGTTGTCCGTGAGTTTTAATTCGCAACTCTAAGTTTTTTTATTACGGAAAAATCCATAAATTTCACATCTCACAATTCAAGAGTTGAAATGCGTCCCATTTAAACGAAGGATCAACTCTATGAAATGTAATAGCGAGAGAGGGAGAGTTTTATTCTGTGGAAAATGTAACAAAGATCCGTCTGTTAGAAATGGGCCGCGATAAAGTCGATCAGAGTCCTGAAGACGTCAGCTAACCTGAGATACGAAAAAGGTAAGAATACATTTCCCCGGAAAACTTCGTCCCTGCATCCTGTCTGCGGCTTTATCGCGCCGATCGCGAACGCGATACTGCGACATTTACGAGGAGGAACTCACCTCTTTGTCTGTCGTAGGCATTTATACACTCGCTGGTCATGAACTGGCTGATAAGGGCCGTCTTCCCGACTCCCCTGGAGCCCAGCATGGCCACGTTGTGCGAGACGACCTCCTTGGGCGGTGCTCGCCGTACTTCGTTCTCCTGCTCGGCCGGCGCCAAGGAGTTCGATCTCGATCTCCTTCTCCGGAAGGAATCTCCTCTGTTGACGACGCCTATCGGATATAAAACAGTCGTCGAAGTATTTGCAGAAACGCCGGTAAATTATAGCGCCTTAAATAGCACGAGAATGCAATAAAAATCAAAACTGACGTAGGGGAACATAAGCGAAAAAAAAAAAAAGAGAGAGAATAACATGACGATTATCTTAAAAATTGTTTACATTTAAATATCATTGTATACATTTGAATATATATTAAATGTAATTATATTTAAAGTAAAATTTCAAGTATGTATATATCATCGGAAGAATAACGATAATTCGTGGAAATACGAAAATCGAAAGGCATCGAACGATGTAAACAACTTAAAGTGTTTTATAGACGCATCGTTGGAAGATCGTCAACGTTTATTTTCGAAACTTCGAATTCCGACGAAATTCCGCGTTTTATATTTCATAATCCACGCTTTCTGTTCGGTATTTGTAGGAGGCGCGGCACACGCGCTGCTCGGGCATCGGGTTGAACATATTTATTTCCGTGTATTCGTTGCCGTCGATATTTAAAACACATCGAATAATCCGAATGTCGTTGCGCCCTTCACAGCGCACGCTGACCCCCGTGATATCGCTAATGTCACATTTTTCGCTAATACCCACCTTTATGTGGACGTCGTTTTAATGCCCGCTCTAGACTGGCAAGAGAGACGCGCGCGCGCAGATGGAACGGTCGGAATTCCCAGCAGAATTTCATCTCCCGGCTAATGAAGCGATTCTCGTGAAATATGAAATAGATTCCGCGGCTCTCTCCCTCACTCTCGAAAAGATAACGAGCAAGCACAATCGCGCGTGTTACGTAAATCCATTTGGAGCGATCGAGGCCCATCTTTTGCAGACACGATCAACATGAGAGACGAGCAACAGAAAGGAACTTCGCAGGGTTATCGTTCCTTAAATATCGTTCGTACATATATGCAGGATGTTTTTCAATTAACGTCCATTAATTAATAACTTTAAGCATCGACTAAGTTTTACATGAATTCATATAAATATAAGTCTAGAAACTCAAAGTTTAGTTTCTGAAGTGGGAGCGATTTTATTGTTTAACAATAGCAAGCAGTTAAAAAGCAATCTAACAGAACAAGTAATTAAACGGGACAGAGTTTAACAGAAACCAAGAAAAATAAAATAAACACAAGGCAAAATATTTTGTTGGAGAAACTGTTCAAAATGGTCCCCTTCTGCTTCGATATATTATCTGTGCCTGCGTTCCATGTTTTGTCGTACTCTGTTGAATGCTCCTCAAGTGTTACGTATTTGTTCACATCCATTCACAATACTTCGCCTTAAAACGTCAAGTACGTCAGGCACAGGAGTTGTGCAAACAATGGACTTTAAATATCCCCAGTGATAAAAATCCCTTAGGGTGGGGTAAAAAACCTTCAATAACTCCTTTAATATCTTTAAAACTAAACGTTTCTAGACCTCACTGTATGAACTTTTTTAATGTTCGGTTGATAGAAATATCCCCTTAGAATATTTGACACCAACTAAAATACACCCCGTACATATAATATATAATACTATAAATATGTATATACTAAAAAATATATATAACAAACAACGAACTTTACTAGTCCCGAAAAACTGATAGATAAGAAAGTAATATAATGTGATACAGAAAATAAATTCATTATTATCGTTCGCATAATTTACGTGGAAAATTTACCCTCACAAAAATGTCATTTCATTCAATAGAATAAAACATGCCAACTCGATCGCCAGGAGGAAGGAGATTCGTCAATCATTTCGCCCGAAGGATCATCTCCGCGAATGAACTTCGGCGGCGATTGATTTATCAGCTAAACTGCGAATCTCGGTTGATCAAACATTCGCCGGCGCATACAAACAACGACGGCTCCGGAATCGTCAGAACGATCAACACACGTGAGTTCCTAAATAGGCACGGATGGCCGCCGGAGCAGTGGATTCGAGTCGCGACTCGTTAGCGAGTCCGTCGCGCCGTCAATGAACGCAACTGGTCGACCGGAAATGGAATGGGCAGCGTGACCGACTTGTAAATAATCTTTAGACATCGTGAAGGTAAACTCCCGACCGCCGCTTAACTACGCCGCCATTGCCGTGCTGGTCGCGCTAATACATTTGCACTACATTAGTAATTGCACGTCAGCTCGGACTGAGAAAATCAACGGCGCGAAAGTCGCGCGTACGTGCGGCATCGGCCTTGTTTACGCATTAAACACAGATACGCACATGCCGGGAATTACCTGTGTCCTACGTAAAGCGCTCTAAATATTGGCTCGGGAAGTGGATCATAGGAGATCGGCTGGAGAAAATAAAACGGGGTTAACGGGATCTTTCCTTTTTTCCTGTTTCATTTTTTTTCACATTTGCAGCGTTACCTTTTCCTCCTTTTTTTTTTCTTTTTCACGCATACAGCGCTGCAGCGTTATCTCGCGCTGTTTTGTTTCCAGAGAATTTCAGCGAATAAAACAACACGTTGACCACAGCATTGATTTCTGTTGATTTTACGGAAGTTTAATTGATGATTGAGCTATCGATACGGTAAATAAATGTAATCCGAGTAACGGTACGCATACGTGTCATTTACCGCGTTTCATCGGCTCTCCGCCGACCGTACAGACTGATTTTTCAAATGCAATCAATTATACTTTACGTGTAATAACTTCTCATGAAACACGATGATATCGTGTCGTCACGACCGGCCGCCGGCTACCATTACGGTATTCAACGTATTAATTAATTCCCCAATATGTATACTCAGGATTCTTAGCAATATTTTAACGATTTTTCAAGTATCTAATTTCCTTGATCCAAGAGTAACATATAACATAATACCAATATTAGCAATATTGTCTAATAGCAACCTGTGCTTTAGCTTCTAAAAAAGCCCATGAAAAATTCTGCGATAAATACAAATTGTGGAGGGAAAAAATAACACTGGTTACTTAAAGAAGCTACGATTTCCACAATTTCCTTCGTGATACAGGCCTGAGAGACCCATGACGTTACTTCGGCGTCAAGATCGCGGACGCTCCGAGTTAATTGCCGGAGCGGAAGATCTGCAAAGGCAACGATTCTCGGATCTAACAATTCGTCGGTTTCGCGCAGAGGTTCACGGACCTCCTCGAGACGATGATTCATAGAGCCCACGTCGAATCATCCACGTGAGATGACTCATAAATCCGTTCCGCGTCGTTTCGGATGACTCACGGAGGCGGCGATTCGCGCGGTGATCAAAATCCGACTCGTCGCGGCGGGTCTCGCGAACAAGTTGCGATCGACGCTCCCGTCTCTCCGTCTGCGATTAAAAGGAAAGAATGAAAGAGCACATCTGCCACGAGAAGGACGATCGGACGTTAAAGCGACGCGAACAAAGCTCCGACTACTCGTCCGGCGTTAAGTCTCGCGACGAGTTTCTCTCCTCTGCCAAAAAGTTGGCGCGCGCGCGTCCGCAATGGAACGGCGATGTGGCGCGTGTGAACACCTCGCGCTCGATAACGCACACCTGTGCGTCCGCGTGCATATGAACGGCGCACACGTACGCCGATGTCAGCGTACGGCTGTCAACCGTTGAGAGGGAGAACAACGCACGTCCTGTTCAGCGACTCAGAACACCGATATCCCGTCCCTCCGACCACCGGTCCGCTCGTCCGTCCGTCTGTCCGTTCCCTCGCTTTGTCTCCGTAGCTTTGTCGGCGCGAAGTTTAGCCCGATGTGCGCTACTTGCGCGCGTACTCGTACATACGGAATGAATGAAAACAGGAGGAATCGATCGTCCTGAAGAGAACGAGAGAGAAAAGGGACGAAGGGGAGAGAAGGAGAGAGAGAGAGAGGGGGGGGGGAGGGAGAAAATTGCACATCGTCGAACGACTCTGAGGACAATCCGATTTCCGTTCCGGCCTCGCCAAATCCGGAGCCACCTCGTGTCACATTCGAGCGTTAGTCTCGAACGAATGTTAGGTGACACGACGACAACGACGACGTCGACGACGGCACCGCCCTGTGTCTCTCTCTCTCTCTGTCTTCCTGGGCGTCATCGACTATTTTTATCGATAAGATAGCGCCGGTGGTGCGATTCGGTGAAAGTACGAGAGATTACGTAGCGCGATGATCGGGATGTAGTTAAAAATAAACGAAGAGAGTAATGGATCGTATTGGTAAGGGCGGGGAGGAGCTCCGTATGTGTGTGCGTGTGGATCGACGAAGGGATGAGAGGTACCAGTCGCGATCGTAGCGGATGGAGTACAAACAGCGGTGGTGTCAGTGCGATGAGTGGAACGCGCGGGAGGCCCCTCGCGTGTGAAACATTCAGCGCTCGCTCTGCGTATTTTCCCGGGAAAAGCGACGAAAAACCGGCACGGTCGCGGCTCGGTGTCACTTGTTACGTCGATCGCACGGGAGAACGGGAGGAGAAAGGGAAAAGAGGGAAGAAGACAGAGAGATACGTCGTGTGTGATTCGCTGCTCGCGCGATCCGATTACCGAAATGCGTAATGTTATTGTGTTATTGTATTGTAGCTTTGGTATCAATTGTGCACCGTTATTTGTATGAGTAATCTGTACGAGTCGATTGGAAACGTCGATTGCAGCGCGCCGGCTCAACTGCAGCGAGGTATACACACGTCGATTGACGCGGACAGTTTTTCACGCGCCGCCCGAGTCGAAATTTCGAACCTGTGTTAAACCTCGAATTCTACAATACAGTAGAAGCTATAATAGCAATAGATTTATATGTATACTTTCAATTCTCTAATAACATAATTTATTCCTACTTTGACCCTGATGGTGTTTTGATAAACATTTCCGTTTTCGGCGTCGGAATAGGTTGTTCAAGGTAGCGCTGAAGTGAAATCTAGACACGGGGAAAAAGTTGGTGTTAACTCAAGACTCATATACTCACGTATAAGCAGGATAAAATATGGAGATGATGAAGATTATTACATAAAGATAAGAGTTACATGAAAACATTCTATATAGTTTCACTAAAAAAAAGTCGATTTTTGTAAGTCCGTAG